AAGTGAGGTGCGGTTATATGTACACATAATATATTAAGATCACAAAACTTGTGTTTAATTTGATTAATATTTTATTAATTTATAATTTTTTTCTTAAAAAACTAATTATAATTTCTAAAAATATCAATATATAAACTTATTTCAGTCAATTAAATAAAAAATATAAATTGATTTATCAATTATTAATTATTTTTAATAACCAAACTAAATATAATAAGTATTTTAATTAAGACAATATTCTGCAACCTTAATATATTTGGCCTTAACCACTCCTCCAAAAGTGGCCACACCCTGCCAAAACTGCTGTTCTTGGCCCCTCCTCTCCTCATCACCTCGAGAAATAGATAAAACATACAAGGGATAATTTCGTCTGTGGCCGCTAATCTTTTATTAAATGTTCATTTGAGCCATCAAGTTCTTGACTCTAGCTATTTCGTTGTTAACCTTTTTTTTAAAAAAGATAATAATAATTGATATATCATTCAGTTCTTACATTTTATAATATAATTATTAAAAAATTATTATTTTTAAATTTAAATTCAAAATGAGAAAAATTTTAACTGTAGAATTTAATAATAAAATCAGTAGATATTAAAAAATATATTAAACTAAGATATATCAATCATTTTCTTTTATAAAAATATGCCTCAATCTAATAATGCTTTCACTTTTTCATCCCTACTCCTATATATATTAAACTATGTAAGGATCTAATTACAACAATCCAAAAAGTTAGGGACTTAACGTACTTGTTTTACAAATTGAGGATCGTTGTTGAAATTTCCATAGTTCTTCCCACCTTTGAATTTTCTTTTGGAGTACGAATTTTACTCGATTGCATATGGTTTTGGCATTTCTCCGAACAGCTGGAAGAAAGGAGACATCCTCTCTCTTCTAAAATTTACTATTGGGAATTGACTAGTGGGTGTCGTTTTGCTTAGAAAGCAAGAGAGGACGACCCACTATGGAGTGCCTCGTCCGACACTGATTGTGCCTTCAGGACCCCTGCCTGTGTTTCTATAACGGGACCGCGCTGTGTGTCTGTGCGTCCTGTGCCGTTTTGTTGGGTCCCTGCTCCCCAGTCCCTACCTCGTGCGAGAGATTTTTGGTCTTTTTCTCTTTGAAAATGCCAGTGGGTTTTGGTTTTTCCTTGGACAGTTGGACCATATTCCATTTTGCCCAACCTGGGTAAGAAAGATTATATGGACAAAATACCATCCCCTTTCCCTCCTTCTTGATATCTTTTTAACGTATACGCATGAATCAAGTTGATAGAAATCCATTCGATCGGTCCAAACAGTCTATAGCCTGACTCACTAATGGGAATCTGCTCATGACCCTAGTAAATCGATAACAATACTCCTCTCTTATGAATTTAACCTATTATTACCTCTATAATTCAGTATTTTGCCTTTAAAATTTAAATTACAAATTATAAATTATCAAATTTGGGTATTTGCCCTATTTGATAATTTATGTTATCCAATCAAATGCAGTTTAAGTTTTACTGGTTATTTTTCAAAAATTCTAGAGGCTGTTGTTTGTGGCAGAAATATAGTGCGAGAAACTTAACTATTTTTAAATTACTGAAATTTAGTTGATAGTTAAGCGATAAAAATATAGTTGTGATCGCATTTATGATTATAATGTATTATTAAATAAATATACATAACATTATGAGTGGATTCTTACATAAAAAAATCAATTATATAATAATATATCATAATTATAAACTTATAATGTCAATTGATATTATAACTATATCACTTTTGTTAGTTGAATAAGAGACATTGTTACTTATGAGGGTCTCTATTTTGACATTTTATAAATAATTATCAGCTATTAATTCTAATAGAATAAATTGAATTATATATTTCATATTATAAATAAT